GTATGTTAAAGTCTGAGAAGCACTGGTTTAAAGTACCCATGAGATCATCCAAGTGGAAATGCCGAATGGCAGTCAGAAATGCAAGTCTGTAGCTTAGGAGAAAGGTTTGGTCTAAAAGTACAGATTTGGGGACCAGTAGATAAGTAATTGAAACTGAGGGAATCAGATATCATTCAGGAGAGAAAGAAGAAAAGAAAATCTGAAGCTAGACCCTGGCTAACACTACCATTTGAAGTGTATGTGGTAGATGAGACTCCAGGAAAGCGAATGGAGACCTGTCAGAAACAGAAGGAAACTAGGAAATAATGAATTCACACACGTGAAAGGAAGAGAGTTTCAAATGTTAAAAAGTCACATTAGATTTAGTAGCCAGGATGTAAAATGGTAGAAACAGAAGCCAGACTGTAGTAGGTTGGGAAATCAATGCAGGTGAACAAACAGAATTTTGTATATGTTGATGACACAGGCTGCAGCTATAATAGATATACTGAATTGAGTTTTCTTCCTTCAAGTGGACAATAAATGAGTATGTTTAAACACTTAATGTAACCGATACTATCTGAAGGTGTAAGATACAGTAATAATAACCCATTTCCGTCGAGTAGATTCTGATTCATAGTGACCCTATAGGAGAGAGTAGAACTGCCCCATAGAGTTTTCCAAGGCTGTAATCTTTATGGAAGCAGAGTGTCACACCTTTCTCCCATGGAGTGGCTGATGGGTTCAAACTGCCAACCTTTCAGTTAGCAGCCGAGCACTTAAACACTGCATCACTAGGGCTCCTCAGTAATAACAATACCTACCATTTAATATCCTCACTGCTGGAATAGTGCCTGACATATAGAAAGCACTCAATAAATATTTATAAAATTAATGAATGATTTACTCTGTATTTGCTGGTATCGGACATATACTATATGATTTGCATGTAATATAATTGAACACTCAAAATAGCCCCATACGGTAGGTATTAACCTATTCTACCCCATCTGTAACCATTTTATAAATAAGGAAACTGATGAAGATAATGCTAACGGATCAATACTCTTTCAAGTAAAACTCTAATGTCACATCATACTCCTAGGCATCACTACCCATCACAGTTGGTATGAGAAGTAAAAATTTATTTGCTATCTCGTCGTAGCTGCTGTTGAGTTGGTTCTCGACTCATGGCAACCCCATGCACAATGAAATGAAATGCTGCCCTGTTTTGTGGTATCTCCATGATCAGCTGTGGATTGGACCACTGTCATCCATAAGGTTTCATTGGCTGATTTTCAGAAGTAAATAGCCAGGCCTTTCCGTCTTAGTTGGAAACTCTGCTGAAACCTGTTCAGCATCATAGCAACACGCAAGCCTCCATGGACAGACAGGTGGTGGCTGTGCATAAGGTGAATTGGCCAGGAATCAAATCCGAGTCTCCTGCATGGAAAGTGAGAATCTTACCACTGAAACCACCCTCTTTTGTATCTTAACCAGCTGCCATCAAGTCGATTTTGACTCATGTGTGTTAAGAGTAGAATGGTGCTCCATGGGGTTTTCAGTGATTGATTTTTTGGAAGTAGATTGCCAGGCTTTTCTTCGTGGTACCTTTGGGTACTACATTATTTCAAAAGTCCTTAGCCTATGGGCCAAATCCGGCCAGCTTGTTTTTGTAAGTTTTAATGGTTAAAGCTCATTCATTTACATATGCCTATGGTTGCTTTTAAACCACAATAAGAGAGCTGAACAGTTGCAACTGAGCCAGTGTGGCCTGCAAAGCGAAAAATATTTGCTATTTGCTATGTTGCCTTTTACAGAAAAAGTTAGTCAAGCCCTATTCTAATACAAATTAGGAGCAATTCACATTTTTTGAGGGACAGTCATATCTTTACCATGGTAAGACACATGCTAGGCAAGCAAAACATGGTTATCCACGTTATTACTTTTGACATCACCTGAAGTGGTAGTATACTAGTCCAATCAATGATGAAAAATTATTATACCTACTACTCTCCCTACTTAAACAATGTGGAAAAAAAGTAATTTAGGAGGTATATTCAGAACTGGCTAAGGAATATGACCTGCCTGGGATTCTTTTAAAGGAACCCTGGTGGCACAGGGGTAGGAATAAATCTAACCAGGGATGTAAAAGACCTATACAAAGAAAACCACAAAACACTACTGCAAGAAACTCAAGGAGACCTACATAAATAGAAAAATATCTCATACTCACGGATGGGTAGACTAAACATAGTGAGAATAAAAATTCTACCTGAAGCAATTTACAAATACAATTGACTGCTAACCGAAACGCCAGTCGTTCGAAACCACCAGCAGCTGCGTGAGAGAAAGATGTGGCAGTCTGCTTCTATAGAGATTTACAGCGTTGGAAACCCTATGGGGTCGCTATGAGTCGAAATCGACTCAACGGCAGTGGGTTTGGGGGATTCTTTTGCACAATCGCTGAATGGTTTAATGTGGATAAAACATATCAAAATTTAAATCCTTCCCTTTTCTGGAATAGTTTAACATTAATTTATTCTTCTGTTTTATGACATGGCTAATTTAAATTCAGTGATCTTAAAAAGTTACAATGCAGTATAAGCTAAAGTGTGATAAAGGTTATCATAATAATCCCGTTAGCTGCCCAAATGTTGAAGACAGAATATGAAACAGTGATGACATGAAAATTAGTTCAGTATTTGTAAAACTAACACATCATCTGTATACATACTTTTTAAAAAAGCGGTTAATCTAATTACTGTAAAAAAACCGAACAATTCCCCTTTATGTCCTATTCCAGAATATTGCTTAGACAGCAATTCTGAAAGTGGGAATATAATTGTTATATCAAAAATATACCAGCTTTTCACAGGCTCAGAAAATACTGGTATTATATATAAGTATATTAAGCATGGATATACATTGTAGAATTAAATAATCATTTTCAAGAAAGCTTGTACTTATTAATCCAATTATTTTCAAAAGGAAAAGACTATGATGACATGTACCCAAAGGTTTGATAATTTAACTATACATAAGAAACATATGTCCTACTACAAGGATTGGTAGCCTACACCAAAGCTTTTGAACACTGAACACAACTATTAACTGTAAAGACTACTACTGTAAACATAACAAAATCTGGTATCACTATCAGAAGGGCTAATTGCTATATCAAAGCTACTCTTTATCCTCATGAAAATCCAAGTCACAAAGAAAATAAAACAAGCTGGTAAACATAAACAGTCAATAAAATTAAAAAACAAGGTATTCTATTTGCCAAAATTTTCTAGGATTAAGAATGATCACAATATCATTCAGTGAACTCATATAAAGAAAGCTAAAACAATTGTGGTACAATTCTGACTTGAAGTGTTTGAGGCAAAAAATCATACAAAGTAAGGATTTTTTTTTTCCCCAAGCAGATGTTATTTTCTGTGCCACATCAGAATATGCGCTTATTCTAACCAAAGAATGCATTTAAATAGCTGTGTATCTGCCTATATGGGCCTCATATGAAATGTCCCCAAGTCAAATTACTCTATTACATTTCTGTGCCGAAATGAGCAATATTTTAGTATAAACAATTCTAGGTCAGCAATGAAAGACATGTGCTAAATCAGGCACTTTTATAATAAACCCCAAAAATTCTTTTGCCGTTAGGTAAGTAAGGAAGTAAATCATGGGAATGTCAGCAGAAACTAAAACAGAATGAAAGGCATATAAAAAGAGCACTTATGTATTTAAGTTTAAAAAAAAAAAAAAAAAAAAGCAGCTTCATTACCTTCAGACAAGTTCAGTTTCATAAAACTGACTTTTCAGTGACATGCAAGGACAGAATGGAAAAACCTTAGACCAACCCTTTTTGGAGAAGCAAAGTTCCATTATTATTTGATGTTAACCAAAAAAATACACTTTCACAATCATCCTTTCACGTATTTATCCTTAAAATGTCCTGTGAAGATAGACACACATGGTTTTATCTTCTACTCTTTTGTATCCCAAATCCTATGGTAATTAATTCTCTTCTTGATTTGTCATTTTGGGCGGGTCTATTCTCACTTAACATAACTGTTCCTTAGGAGTTTCATATATATCAATTCACCTTTAAACATACTATAATGGCATGGTATTTAAAGCAATTACATTTACATCGGCTAAAGGAAAAATTCACTTTGTTGTATTTTAAATCTAAATTTCATATACTGGTTTTGCTTAACTTACCAAACAAAAAGCCAAACCCACTGCCATCAAGTCCGACTTATAGAGACTCTACAGGACAAAGAACAACTTCCCCATAGCGTATCCAAGGTTGAAAATCTTTTACAGAAGTAGACTGCCACCATCTTTCTCCCATAGAGCGGCTGGTGGGTTTGAACCACCAACCTTTCAGTTAGCAGTCAAGTGCTTTAACTACTGTGCCACCAGGGCTCCTAAAGTAACTTAAACAAACAAAAAACTCAACTCCGCTGCCGTCCAGTTAATTCTGACTCACAGAGACCCCACAGGGCTTTAAAGCTGTAAATCTTCATGGAAGCAGACTGCCACATCTTTCTCTCGCAGAGCAGCTGGTGGGTTTGAACCGCCAACCTTTTGGTTAGCAGCCGAGCGCTTTAACCACCGGGGCTCCTAAAGTAACTTGTTGTTGTTGTTAGGTGCCATTGAGTCAGTTCCAACTCATAGTGACCGTACATACGACAGAACAAAACACTGCCTGGTCCTGCGCCATCCTCACAACTGTTGTTACGCTTGAGCCCATTGTTGCAGCCACTGTGTCAATCCATCTTGTTGAGTGTCTTCCTCTTTTTCACTGACCCTCTACTTAAGTAACTTAATATTCACTAATTGAAAACCTCCACTTCCAAAAAAACAAATATGGAAAAAAGATTCATATGCTGTTGTGAAAGCATAATCCTAAAAATACTTATTGCTGGGAGCATTTAATGAAACTTTTCTTGTAAAATGTTGATTTTAAATTATTAAATCGTATATTTACTAAAGTTAAATTTACATACCTTGGACTTGAGGGAACCTCCCCAATTTTCATCCACAGACCTCAAGTATAGCACCTGCATACAACTACAAAAAGGAAAAACAGGAATTTAAAAAAATATAAATTTTAAAATGTATATATAAAATTTCCCAGCACAAACATTACAGTTAAGCAGATATATAGGTCAAAGATGTATAGATTACTAGATAGGACCATCTAGTTCCAGTCTAACAGAAGAGGAAACAGACCCAAGAATAAAAATGGCTTCTCTAGGGAGAGGAGCTTAAGCCCTACTTGGAGTACTCCTAAACCTAGCCAAAGGAGATATGGAGACTTGACAATAAACTCTAATAGGTAAGATGTTCTAGGAAGCTATTTACAAAGTCTTAAAGATTTCCTACAGGTTTTTTAGGGTAGTAAATTGAACGCAGGTATATATCCATCTACCCTAGATACTTAATGGAAATTCTGGTTGCTTTTATTATAAAAGATCAATGTTTTAAAATTAAATAAAACAAAACAAAAACCCAATACCTTTTAAAAGTAATTATGATAGTAAGTACTGTGTAAAGATATAGGAAAACCAGTAAAATCTCATCATAAAGAACTCAAATGCAAATATTTTAATGAAAATTAAATTGAACTGGATTCAATGGTAAATACAACATTTCCAGCTATAAAGAGCCTGCAGTTTCTCTTTATAGGAAAAGCTCATTATAAAAAACTCAGATGCAAATATCTAATTGCAATGAACTCAGCTGAAATGGTTTCAATGCCAAAAATCACTTTTTTTTTTTGGTGGCTGCAGAGCCTATCCATTCTTTTTATAATGCCTTAGGAATACTGTGACCCAAAGAGAAGGCAGGCAATTGTTAAGAACATGCTATTATCCATTCCATTTCTTCTTGGCTGTTACATTTGTCTTTTTTATTACAGGTTCAAGAGCTAAAGATGAAATTTTACTTCTTAACTTCTAAAGTAGCATTTATTTAACTAAAAAAATCACATGCACTACATGTTTACTTTATAGACTGTGGAAAATACAGAAAAGCACTGAGTAGAAATTAAAAATCACCTTAATTCTACCTACCTAAAAGATAATGACTTAACATTTTTTGGTGATTCTGGGCTAGATCCACAGTTCCTAAGTTTTTAAAGGTCATAGATTTTTTTGAGAATCTGATGGAATTTTGCCTTAATTCAGGCTGTTTATGGACTTTCTGAAATCATTGATGGATTTCAGATTAAGAACTCTGAAGATCTTTCCCAGGTTCTTTCTAGCCCTCCTCAAAAAAATAAAATCAGTTGACCTTATTCTACACAATAAGCTGCTTTTAAATGAGATCTGGGTTAATAATAATAGACAACTCCCAGAAAAAAATCTTAAAAAAATATAAGGCCATATAAAAATGTGGCTATTACATTTATCTTTTATTTACAAGTTTGTGATCCCTTGGAAACTCCTGGTGGATTCCATTAGCTTACATAATGGCATTTCTCTACACCACTGTTTCCAATATTATTCATATTATAAGTGTACTCAGTTGAATATTGTCCCTCCAAAATTCGTGTCCATCTGGAACCTCAGAACACGGCCTTATTTGGGAATAGGGTCTTTGCAGATGTAATTACAGGTAGTTCTCGACTTACAACAGGTTCCATCGAATACCTCTTTTATTGTTTTAGTTTTCATTATTATTATCTGTTATTATCAATATCTTTATAAATCTGATATTTGAACATCTGTGAGTGAACATCTGAGAATGACAACATCAGCACATTACACACTGCAACACTGTATGTAGTATATACTACAATGATGAGATGTACCAGGAAAAAAAAAAAGTCTCTAAGTGCAGTTAGTCATAACTAGAACACGTAATAAATTGGGGACTACCTATGGTTAAGTTAAAATGAAGACATAGTGGATTAGGGTGGGCCCTAATCCACTGATTGGTGCCTTGGAGAAAACAAGAGACACACAAGGAGAATGCCACTTGACAATGAAGACTGGAGTGATGCAGCTGCAAAACAAGGACTGCCAGCATCCACCAGAAGCTAGGAGAAAGGCATGGAACAGATTCTCCCTTAGAGCCTCCAAGAAGGAAGCAACCCTGCCAACATCTTGATTTCAGACTCCTAGACTCCAGAACTGTGAGAAAATAAATTTCTGTTGTTTTAAGGCACCTAGCTTATGGTACTTTGTTATGGCAGCTCTAGGAAACGAGTGCAGGTACAGTGGAAAAGGGTAGTAACTGTATGGAGGCTGTATGTAACTTGAAATGACCTTTTCACCCCAGGCCCCACCTGGCTGTCCCAAGGGCTAAAGGACTCAGTATCCTAGCACACCTGTAACCCATTCATAAAAAGCACTTCTCTGTACCACAAAACATCAACTTATTACATAATTCAAAGTATTAGAAACATATTCTTCAATAGGCTCAGATGTGACCTTCTCCAGGAAACTCTGATTTCCTAGTCTCATGGACTTTCCTAGTAAACATCCACAGAATTTTGCTCTTATACTATAAATATTCTATAACTTGACTGTGGGCCAGAAATGTCTTATTTATCTTAATTTCCTATAGAACTGGACATAAAGCTACTCAATGTATGTGTACTGAATGGAGAGAATTATTTCTTTAACAAAAATAAATGCCTATTTTGGCATACTTTGGAGAGTAGATTGTACTTAGTTCCATTCTAAGGTAAATTAAAAAAAAAAGTAACTCAAGTTGCTTTAACGTTATTAAAGTGACATTCTAAAAACATTAATTTGTTATGCTACTTGGCATTTTACTCATGAATTCGTAGTGTTCATACGAAAACATTTGTTTTTCATGGCAAATAAATAATTAACTACAGACTGTGGTAAATTTTAAAAGCTTGCAGAAGTGGTCACAAACATCAGTGACATGGATGAACCTTGAAAACATCATTCTGAGTGAAATAAGTCAGAGACTATATAGGACACACATGGTATGGCCCCACTTACATGAAATACTTAGAATAGGCAAATGCACAGAGACAAAAGTTTATTAGTGGTTACAAGGGGCTGGGAGAAGGGGAAAGTAGGGAGTCACTACTTAAGGGGTAGCACCTCGGGTGGTGCAGTTAGTGCACTCGGCTGCTAACCAACAGGTTGGAGGTTTGAGGACACCCAGCAGTGCCTTGGAAGAAAGGCCCAGTGATCTACTTCTGAAAAATCAGCCACTGAAAACTCTATGGAGCAGCTCTACTCTGATACTCTGACATTTCATGGAGTTGATGTGACTGGAAATTATTTATTTGAAAATGGATACTGGTGGTAGTTGCACAACATTGTGAATGTAATGGCACTGAATTGTACACTTAAAAATGGTTAAAACGGCAATGTTTTGTTATATCGACCTTCCAGGGTTGTTACAAGAAGTAAAAAAAAAAATTACACATGCAAAATATCTGGATATTTTAGATGCTCAATAAGTGACAACAGCTATTTAATGCTTGCTTTCATACTACTGAATAAGTTCAAGTTGTGTACCTGAAACTCATTTCTATGCATAGTTAATGGAGTTTTCTGTTCAGAGACTAGAAGTTATCATTTACTATTCCTCTGTAATTAGAATGGCCACTCCAACATTTCTCAAGCTCTAAAAACGCAAAATTAGCCTAGACCAGTGGTTCTCAACACTGGCTGTACACTAGAATCATGATGGGAAGTTTAAAACTTTATCTACAACACTATTAAAGTGCTATTCCTCTCCGTATCTTTAGTTTCTGCTTTTAGACTGAGAAGAAAAGAAAAGTTACAAAACAAGCAAGGTAACATCTACCTTAATTTAAATTAGGCTCTAAAGAAGGTAATAACGCACTGGGGAAAATCTTTCCACAAAGATACGATCAATGTTCCATTAAAAAACTCAATGAAAATGTACAAAAATAAAATAAATTGAAAGTGTTTCTCTGACATCAAATTCTAGATCAGATCATTTTAACTAAGAAACCTAAGAAAAAGAACTAGACTTCTTTCAGTGCTATGATGTGGAATAGAATCTATATACATATCTACCGTAAACTCAAAAAACCAAACCCGCTGCCTTCAAGTCGATTCCGATGCATTGCGACCAACAAAAATTATTTAATTAACGAGCGAGCAAGACTGTAGTAATGAGACTTTCACCTGGAAACAAACACACAGACAGACAGACACACCCATACATACTTCAGCTACAAGTATGAATGATTCATGGCCATCGCTTGAGAACACTTCATTTAATTCTAACGATACTCAGGAAATAGAACATACTGAAAGGATGTAACTTAAGACAACTTGAACATGGTCACTGTATTTCCTGAAATCAAAATATCCAAAGAATTGGTAAAAATGACCTTAAGCCTGAATATCCCTTTACTAAATAGTTTTAAATTATAAAACGATCAGCCCCTTGGTAATAAATATAAAAATATTTCAGAAAATGGCAAAACTCAATATGAAAAAAACACAATGTCTTTTTTCTCTTAAATGTTTGAGAAATACAACTTATTTTCCTGTTACTTTGAAAAACTGAGATCCAGTCAAAAATGTTTCAACACTCAAACGTTCAATTGCCAGCCTTCAGAAACTGAACATGAAGGTGCTATATATGTGGCAGCAAAAGCTGCTTTTCCGAAAGAGAAATCAAATTTTTTGTGTTAATGTGGATATTATATAACCTTTGTGAAAAGGGGGCAATTATGATAAATCTCTTAATAACGGTTATAAACTATATCTGAAAAAAAATGCTGGCATAAGTTAAATTATAGTATTTCCCTACTAAAACTAAAGAAAGCAATCGCCATCTAAATTAAAACTTTTAACACTTATTTCTTCAAAAAGAAAACTGAAAGGCAGTTTGTCTCTAGGGTTAAGTTTTGTTAAAAGTTACTTCTTGTTGCTGCCCCTTCTCCCATCTACCATCATTGCCTTAATGAGCCACCCTGTAATTAGTCATTAAAGTGTGTTGTAGTCTTCTTGAATTGGCTTTACCAGTTCCTCAAATTAGAACAGTCTTCTTGAATTGGGTTTACCAGTTCCTCAAATTAGAACACAGGGAAGCATCCTTACTC